TTTGTTTTCCTTAGTCAAATAACCTCTCCTCACATTACTTTCAACTTTATGATTCTTGATCATCCATGTGTGCAATAGAACTTTTGGATTAGAAAAATGATATGTCGATGATTAGAAAATGTATTTGGAACTTAACAAATACAAATCTTCTTTCATATACTATAAGACCCTTCTTTACCTTCCGAGTATTCCAAAGAAACTGCCTTCCAATACAACACAACATGGACTCCTTCTTAATGATTAAGAGGGTCTAGTGAAGAGTTAGCAAGTGTATGAAATTTAGGAAATATGCAATATATAATAGTACTACTTACCACATCCCTTAGTATTGGACAGTGATACTAAGAAAACTTGTTTGTTTACCAGATTCACAAAATAACACCATTGAACTTTCTAAACCTAAACAGGTGAGTATCTCCTCTCACACTGTATATTGTAATCTTGTCTCCCTCTTTCAGTGCATGAATGTCGAGTGCTTGTGTGCTTGCGCCTTTATGCGTTTTTGAATGAATGAATTGCAAGCTTGGTGTTAATATTTGAACTTCTTGATATGTGAATGTCTTGTCACTGTTTGGCTGCGTGCCAATTGAATTGAATTGCTTGTTACTACTCGGTTGTATACTTTATCACACCGAGAATCGCTACTGTCATGATCTGTCTTGAAAAGAATACTTGTGCATGAATTGCCATGAAATTGTTGAGACTTGGATGTGTACATTATCACACCAGTCTCAGGGCCCCACTACCATAGATCGAATCCAACGAGTCGGCATTGGGCACAGACATATGGATAGACTATTGATAGCTTTAGTAGGCGTGCACGAGCTACGAGTACTTGACTGTTGTGGCCACTTGAAGTGACGGGTTATTGTTATTGGATTTGAAATGTAACTTGAACACACCAATTGGGAATCTAACTTGGAAGACAACCCAAAAGACCACATAGGTCTTCGGCAGTCTCCAGTTAAGATCCACTCGTATCCTCATGAGAATATGTCAATGGCGTCGGATATGGTCATCTTTTATGTGCTAATGTGACTGAATATTTCTTTTCCAAATGCAATTCATCGCGTAAATAATGTTAGTCTAACAGTTATATTGATAGAACTTTGTAGACAATGTTAATAAATGAAAATGATGGATGAAAATGAACTGTGTGAATAACTGCATGTGCATGTGACTTGATTACCGTATGGAGTGTGAGAGACTGTGAGTTGTTGTTTGAGGTATTCACTGGGCTTTAAAGTTCATCCCATTATTTTTCCTCACAGGTTAGCAGGTTAGCTGAGTTAAGGAAAGAATAAATTGAATTGATTGCGAAGAGAATCATTTCGATTTTCTTTAGTCTAGCGCTTATTTGAACTTCAGAATTTGTAATAAATTTTGGAATCATCGTTATTGTAATTATTAGTCTTCCGCTGTTAAAAAAAAATTTAGAAGTTTGAATATGTAATAGCTTAACTAGTTCTGTTCCATAAGTCTTGGGCGAGAAATCGTCCGGTGGGCGGCTTAGTTTGTCACTAAACACGATAACTAATCGTACTTGAGACTTGGGCCGTCACAAGTGGAATCAAAGCACGGTTTGGAAATCCATGGACTGTTCTTTTAGGTTTTCATTTAGGTTTCAAGATTTTAGTAATAGACTTACTAATATTATGGACTTGATACTTATAAAAGAATTCACTTAAAAAGAGAATTAAATTATCATGTTATAGTATTTCAAGGTTAAGTTCAACTTTTCTCAATGTAAGCCTAGGATAGAAAGCAGTTGTATAGCTTGATACAAAAGATCGACACTGAATCCTTCTTGGGACTAATCAACCCAACAAGGTGGAAGTATTGTACTTTATGTATTAAGCTAAGCAATGTTCGGGTAACCAAAAAGGGTAGTGTGTCCTATTGGCATAGAGAAAAGATCTGCAGGGTAGAGTAATTTGGTAGAGTATTACGTGTACGAATATACACACTCTAAATTACTTAAGCAGTACTATTTCCATTTTGATTAGCTTGCGTGTAGCTTAACGCTAGCATGGTCCTCCCTCCAAAGCCAGTTTTGAATTTAGGATTGAATGTTTTGTCTTGGCCTACAGTAGTCAACTTTAGTTTCATAGAAATAAACATGTCTATGCTTTTGCTCATCTCATGTGTCATTCTTAATTGTGTAGTCTCTGTTAACTGCTCAAATTCAACATTCATTTCTAGCTCAAATTTTCAAAACCCGTGACTGTGCGTGGCTGATGGTATTTTAGTCTCTTATTTTGAATTCATCTTGTCCAGTTGTTTTTCGTTTCCTGTACATAAAACAAACCCCCATATTTGCTGTCCGACAGATTTTCTTCATATCAAAATTCCTAATAAAAGTAAAATTCATTAACTGAATTACGTAGGGTTGATGATAAACAAATAATAGTAACTTGATGCAGTAAAAATGAACCAACAAATAATCAATTGCAGCAACCTAGAAACTAAGTTAAATTTAGGAAAAAGAAGCGATAATTTAATTTAGGAAAAAGAAGAGATAAATAACTGATAATTAACATGGAAAGCAAAAGACATACAAGTGATAACATGATTACAATTTTTAACGTGCCATTTACATGTAGCATTTAATTGTTAAATGACTTTTATTCAATAACAAAGTCCAAACAGTATCGCATATAATGGTTCAATGTTTGGTCCTTCTGGTGAATGCGTTTGAATATTACAAATCCATAATCCTTTGACTTACCGGTGTTCTTATCAATGATGTCGATTGCTTCTTCAAGTACTCCATAGGCCGAGAAGACAGAGCGGAGCTTGTTAGTGTTGGTTTCCCAACCAAGACTGTGGATGAAAACTTTCCGCTGGGATGGATCGGAATCGGTGATGGCGCGCCGCTTCAAGGACGTCGGGGTGGCGAAGGACGGCCGCACGAAGGATTGGGAGCAATTGATCCTTGGAGAAGAGAATTTTCGCGATGTCTTCTGGGGTTAATTTAGGCAGCAGCTGATGACCTGATTTGGAGGAGGAGACGATTTGGGGGATTTTTTTTAGGGTTGTTTTGATTTGGTTCAAGATGTATTTAGGGAGGGGGAGAACGAATTGGGTTTTGTTTTGGGTCCCGCTGTTGAGCACCTAATTTTTTCATTTAAACGTCCTAAAAAGACGTACACGCACCTGCAAAATAGATTTACATTGATTTTTTTTTTATAAAAAAAAATGTATGACGAGGGAGGAATGAGCAACCCCTTTAAGGGATGGCGAGAAAACCTTCGCCGCATGGCGAAAGTGTGGCGCCCTTCTGGGCGCTCGCCAACCAAAGGGTGGGTAGCAGCACCTTAATTACTTTCTTTTTAATTTTTTATTTTTAATTTATTTATTTAATTATCTTTACTTTAATTATTTTTAATGTCTTTAATTAATTTATTTTAATTATTAGTTTGATGAATTTATTTAATTCATGTATTTATTTAATTCATGTATGTTCTTAATTTATTTATTTATTAAAGTTTATTTATTTGTTTAGTGATTAAAAAAATAATTTTACTTAAATATTTAGAGAATGTTGCTTAATTATGTAGTAAATTTTTATAAAAATTTATCATTTAGTTATGTAAAATTTTTTAAACGTAAACAAAAAATTATCATTTAATAAAAACTAAAACTTATGAATTTACTACCAAAAAAATTAATTATTCATCATCGGTGCATCTAGCTGTCCTGAAAATATTTTTTTGGAAAAAAAATATAAAATTTAAAATACGTTGAAACGAAAAATTAAAAAGCATGAAAAAATATAAAATACTTTTATTTATTTATTTAATTTTTTAATATTTTTTCAACCGCCCAATAGATAAATAAAAAATAAACTTAAGTAAATAAATAAATAAAATAATTAATTAATTAAATAAATTAAAAAATAGAAAAAATTAAAAAAAAAAGAAAAAGAAATTTCGGTTTGGCGCCAGATTTTTGCGCCACCCCCATTTTGGGGATAATATTCCCTCTCGCCTCCCTTAATTGGGAGGCGAGAAAATTGTGTGCCACCCTTTAAAGGGTGGCGCATTTCTCCTGCGCCAGCTGTGAAAGGCTGGTGCAGTGCTCCGTCGCACCCACCCCTTTTTTAAAAAAAAAAATATTTATGCAAGGGTAAAATAGTCTTTTTAAGATTTTTTAGGGTGTTCAAACGAAAAAATTAGGGCGTTCAGTAGCCTCCCAGTTTTTTATAGGGTTGTTTTGAATTGGTGCAGGAATCGATTTAGGGAGTACGAAAACGGCTTCGCGTTTTTCATTTTATTTTGGGGAAAGGGTCCCCTTGAAACGATGTCGTTTTGATAGACAGGGGGATTGTGCAAGAACGTCGTTGTTTTTTTGAAGAGGGGAGGGGTTGTGGGAGAAAATTTTTTTAAAGATAATTTCTAATTTTTAAATGACTCTTTCACCCCCAATTAAAAAGATGATGTAACTATGATGTAAGGATGATGTCATGTGACGACTGCTCAGCCAATCAGATTGCAAGAAATTAATTACCGAGCGTAGCTTTTATATTAGCTTATAGATAAGGATAAATAGATAATAGATATATTCAATATTCTTTCAACTATTTAATGTCTTCAACAATCTAAAGAATAATACAAAATGTACCTTTATTTCGAGGCAGAGAATGATTTTTAAATAAAATTATTGTTTTAGGGCGAAACATAATGATTGTTATAATTTAGATTTTTATTTTTTTTTACTAAAAGTGAAATTTCAAATTAAACAATCGTTTTTAACCGATTATAACTTTGGCCTTCAAACTCTTTGACTTTTGAAGTTGAGTTCAAAGGAAAAAAAGAAATATCTACCATAAACTTTTTGTAAAAATGTTAAATCATGTTACTTTTTAAGCTATAATACTTGCCTAATCTTCTATTCTAATTTTATTTTAATAAAAAAAAAATGTCTGCTTCTTTTCGTTGACCTTTCATATTTTCTATCGTCGAAATTTCCATTTATTTTTTATTTTTTTAGCAATAAAACTTTCTCTATCTATACAAACAAAAATCTCCCAAACGGCAGACAATCCTTTTCTATCTGTCCGATTGTTTCAGCGGTTGGCCGGAGTTCTGTGAGGTAACAACAACAATGCTGTCAGAGAGAAAACAACGATCTTTGATCATCTAAATAAAATAATGTCCCTTGCTGATGTTTCTTACAGGTTACTACTATCTCTCATCTCCCCTGTCCCTCCTCAGTTTTCTGGAATTTTTTCTGTTCTTCAGTTAGTGTTTCCTCAAGAACGGTTTTTTCTGCTTCTATTCCTTTTTACGTCGAGCATATGCTGAGATCATTGTTGGGTTTTGAATATTTTTTCATATGTTGTCGTTCTTGATATTTCAGAGTTGTTTTGGAGTTATTTTTGCTGCTTTTATCACTGTTTCAACGATTTATAGGGAAACTAATTTTGTTGCAAGTCCGAGAAGTTTAATCCATTAACTTTGTACCTCGTAGTTATGCATGTACGCATGTATATCGATACAGTAAGGGAGAGGGAGAGTGATTTTGCATAATGATGGCTGATGGATTGATGTATGAAATGATATAACTCCCATTACCATGTCTATGTTTCAATTTGAATGTAAGTAGTGATTTTTTTTTTTTCTTTTATGCAATATCCTTTCTAATGATTATGTGATTCGTTGATTTCAATCTCCTTGTCATTATTGTGGTTAAATTTTGCTGGTCGGATACAAGTATTAATTGTTTTCTTAAATTTATTAGTGAAGAGACCAAAGCCTCATTCCTGACCCCTCACGAGGAGCAGTAGTAGTTCGTAGGGGATTTTACTTAGTTGTAACTTGTAAGTGTCATAGATGAGCTGCTTTACAATGGCCTCCATTGCTTGCTCCCCTGTGATCACGACGGTAACTCTCTTGGCCTGCTAGCAAGGTACATACGTTAAGACTTTGCATGGCTGCAATTTTCGGCATATAAGCATCTGTGCTTCAGCACTACGATTCCCTTTCTGGAAGGGCTTCCGTTTTCTCAAAGTTATGGAACTGTTTGTTTAGTTCCTGGAGAGTTGTCTCACTTTCGGACAATTTTGTCTAATTCTTGAGAGAACGTGTCTCATGACTTTAGTATCCTCTAATCACATCTCTGTTGATGCTTTGAAATTAGTATCGATTGTGGTCTATCCTTTGGTAGTTTGTTAGGATCAGTAGGAAATGTGTAAATGTTGAAGAGGGTTCTGCTTCATCTTAGCATGTTCATGTATAAATTTCTTAGCACAACTGTTCTTCGTACCAAAATATTTAGATGTTCTCCAGGTTATATATTGGTCTAGCTCAGGTTATTAGAGAATCTCAGTTAGTTCCTTTTCGTTTTTTCTTTTCTCCGGCCTGTTGGAAGTTCATACTGTGCTGGGGTAAGATATAAATATTTTCAGGAGGTCACATTCTTTTAATAAATATTGATGTTCTTTTTTTCCGTGTTTTCATGGTTAGATTTGCAATTGTTGTTTGTTCAGCTAAAGCCCCTATCAGTCCATGCTCGCGCATATTTAAAATTAATTAACAATAGGGTAGATTGTATCTCGATCTGATTACTGGTACTTCAATCCAGAGCAAAATTTACTTCTCCTGATCTCTATGCAGTTATAAAGTAGAATGGGCTATATGCATGAGTGTGTTCAATATGTACATTTATCAGTATGCAAAAAATGAGTTAGCAGAGAGTTGAATGATGTTAACTCACTCCAAACCTAACTCCTGCTGGGTGTTGTATTTAGTAGAAAGATATCAATGATGAAATACACTCAAGTTGCCTGCTAACTGCTAAGAATTCTTTATAATGTATATAAACTGAGACTAATCAGGCATGTAACTCCTGTAAACTGATTTTCTTCTCTTCTTTTTCATTCTTAGCAGCTGTGGATCTTGTGGATATCGTCTGAATCTAACATCTTCTGCCCGTATAGTATCTGGAATCGGATTGGAATATAAAAGATCCATTAGGAAAGGTTTTATCTCATTTGTCTCCATTGATCTTAGTAGATTTACTGTGGTCGACCAGGTAAACTGCCTTCCTGCTTGTCTGGTACCTTCAAAGACCAAACTTCTTTGTCGTAAATGTGGTGTGTTTATAGGCCATATTATAGGAGACTTGCATGCTCCGGCTGTTATTGACTCACCATCTTCTTCAAGCTCATACAAAAACATTATGATAAGAATTCAATCTCTGCAACCTCTAGAAGAGTCTTAGTCCAGTAGAATGGCTAATTGTTCCAAAGAGTGTCGTACCTCGATTACACACCTTCCTGACGATTGCTTGTACTCTATCTTTTCCTGGCTGGACTCTGCCTCTGACCGGGAGTCTTTTGGCTTGACTTGTCATCGATGGCTTCAAATTCAGAATCTAAGTCGTAGAAGCTTACAATTCGTATGCTCATTTACTAAAGTTGATATTCCCTCCTTATGCCAACGTCACATGAGAATTGGTACCTTTCATCTTAGTAGGTTGCTGCATCGCTTCCAGCAACTGCACTCTTTGTCCCTGTCTGGTTGTGTTGAGCTTCCTGATTCAGGATTGGGCCACCTGCAATATTATGGCTCGAATCTACTAAGTATTCATCTGGGATGTTGTTTTCAAATAACTGATTGTGGATTTTTTTTAATTGCCTCTGGATGCCCTTCTTTGACAACTATTAGTCTGTATCGGTGCAATGTTACAGATATTGGGTTAAAAGCCTTGTCTGAATCTTGCTTATTTTTAGAAGACGTGGATCTATCATCCTGCTCACTTATATCTGACTCTGGTATAAGTTACCTTACTCAAAATTGCCATGAACTTCGTGCTATCCGGATCACAAACTGCAGAAATGTCACTGGTGTTGGTTTCAAGGGTTGTTCAGATTCACTGATGTATTTGGAGGCTGATAGTTGTAAACTTGAACCAGAAGGAATAATGGCCATTGTCAGTGGGGGTGGCCTTGAGTATCTGAATGTTTCAAGCCTAAGCTGGTGCATCCTTGGAGATGGTTTGGAAGCAATAGGTGCTGGATTTGCTACTAAACTGAGGGTGCTTGATTTTCGACACTGCAGAACAGTTGGAAACAACTCAATCATTGCGATAGCAAAAGGATGCCCATTACTCCGGGAGTGGAACTTATCATTGTGTCATGAGATCAAGACAGCTGGGTGGGAAGCAGTTGGTATGAACTGTCATAACTTGGAGAAGCTTCATGTGAATCGATGTCGTAACCTGTCTGATGAAGGATTACATGCGATACGAAATGGCTGCAAGAAGCTTTCAGTCCTGTACATAAGTATCAGGAAATGTCGACAAATCAGTCCCATAGCCATCGAGATCTTCAAATGTTTAAGAGGCAGTGTTGTCCTTGAAGAGAAAGAAGTCATGTGCATTGCTCCCGATTGGGCCTTCAAGGTTTAGATAGTGACAATAAGGTGCAACTTATATACGAGCTTAAAAACCATATTCTATACAAACGTTATGAATAAACATTTTGTAAGCAGTAAAGATTGGCGAACTCCAGGTACTGAAATCGTCGTTTATCTGTCATTAGGTGGCTCATATTGGCATGACGTGTTTCCGCTTGCATGTCTTTTGTAGAATGACTTGAGCAGCTGAGCTTTTGTATCTTAAATTATCGGGCAAAATATTCGAGCTCATTCGCTGGCTTATGGAAACTGAAGTGTAGGAGATCAATTACTATAGGTCCTATCCGTTTTAGAATGATGTTTTGCAAGTCAGGAATCACTCAATCTCTTTGTATAGACCATATGGGTCTGAACTATGAACTTAATCTAGTGGTATAATGAACAGCAAAAATGATTGGCTTGATTGTACTATAAATCATTTTAGAAAGAAGTACGATGGTAGTTCATGGTGGTTGACTGTTTAGAAAAGAAGTACAGAAGAAAAGAACCACTGACTCCAGAATAGAAGCACAACCAGTTGCAGAAAAGTTTGATTCTCGGAACCTGTAGGGCTGACAAGGAATGGAATTTGGAATTTTCTTTAGACTTTAGGTCTCGAAATTGGGATCATCCCAGACAACATTTTCTTTCCTTTGGAAAGTATCTTTTCCTACACATACATCGATCTTCTTTCATGCAATCGAAGTGTACCACATTTCACAGTCAGAATGTCCCAAAATTGGGGACTAAAGAAGCTCCTTATATCCACTTTACGTTATTCAGTCTCTCACAACAGGACCATAATCTCAAGACACCAGCGGAAGCCGAATTCCTCCGTCTAGTGCATCTTCATATACAAACGAGAGAAAAGAAAAGCAAGATCACAAAATGCAGAAAACATCTCTAATACTAGCTATCTACCCTCCTTTCTTTAAGGCTGTCGGTTGTGTTCTCCACAGACCCCGAACAACATGTATGAACACCTTTGAGCTGTATACCATAGCCAATCTCCATCAACACCCACAAAAAAGCATCCCATATAGTTAATCACTTGGGCCCCACAAATTATCCCAGCCACCACTAGGAGGAGCCTTGGACCCATCCATATTGTTTCCTTGGCCATGCGGGTTGTGCGGACCCTGAATCATATGAGGACCAGGAGGTTGAACTTTCGGAGGTTTTGTTCGAACTCCCAAAAGTCTCAACACAAATCTTGCGAGCTCACCATACAACATCCCTGACCGATCAAAAAGCTGCAAAACAATACAACTCTGCAGTTAAGTAAAAAGGAAGTTCACAGTCTACATAGCATCTTGTGTTGATCACAATAGACAAAATCACAATGCAAAGACCATCATGTTACCTGGAGAAGAGCACTCATAAACATGTGAAATGCCTGGGTATTTTGGTCAATTAAGATTGCAACCCGACCAAAGAATGTTACTACACCTTGCATCTGTAAATATCGTCAATGATTAAATTTGGATCTTCTTCTCAAAGCAACAGATAAAAAGTAATTAAAAAGAGAGGGCACTCAGTTATGCATATTACAACAAACTGGAAAGACAGATCCAGTTGTTGAATCAGTGGGAAAAGAAAACAAACAATAAAAAGGAAACCATGGAAAACCCGCATCAAAATGGGACGCAACCGAAGATAAGATATGATTACCCACGATAATTTCTTACTCATATCATATCATATCATCATGTACACTAGGCTTAACGCTTGCACTGTATTCCATGTTTTTTTTTTATTATTATTATTATTATTTATTTTATTTTTTTGGCATTGTATTCCATATCATCACATTTTTCTTCTCTGTTTCAAAATAAGAAAACAAAACCCCGCTTCTACGAATGGCAAAAAGAAGCGGAAGATAGAAACTATTAATAAACAATCACGGGGAAACGGAAACAAGTTCTTCTGCAGGCAGCCAGGCATCATCACTTAGCCACTGCCCATGAACAAAAATACGTTTACACCCCACAATGTCACATATCCAGAACCTCATTGATAACCAGAAAATGATTGTGATTCGAGAAGATGCAAACCATTGAAAACACCAAAGTTAAAAGAGGCTTCCAACAGATTTCATTCTCATAAAAGTCTCATGCTAATAGAAGATGCTAGCAATTGAAATCCCCAATGTTTACTTTCAATTCTAGAAAATCTTATCCGGAGACAGGTATGAAGACAGAGAAGTATTGCGACTTACCACTCTCATCAAAGAAATCCAAAAGCTTGGCGGAGAAGAGGGAGGACCAAATGGATTGTTTGGATCTTGATCACCATAAGGGCCGCCTCCCATACCCATTCCCATTCCCATTCCCATTCCTCCATAACCACCCATCCCCCTCCCAAGCCACCGTACATTCCACCCCCACCATACATGCCACCCCCATAAAGTCCACCATAACCTCCCCTGTACATGTTATTTCCATATAATCCACTCCCATATGAACTTCCATATCCTCCTCCATAAGATCCCATCCCACCATAAGATGAACCATACATTCCAGAACCATAACCAGTATTGTAGTTTAAGGTGGATCCATAACCTGGAGATCAGGAAAAGAAACAGTTCCCATTAGAACAGTGTAAGAACTCATCCAAAATGCAATTTATATCCACTAACAGCATTTCACAAGGAATAACTAGAGATAACTATTCGGGATACTTATACATAAATGACAGCTTATAACCAACGGAAACAAGGTTTCTGACACAATAAAGCACAAGCTCGGACAACAAAAAATTATGTCCTTATTTCCTAACTAGAATAATACACCATGAATTACCACCCTTCATGACAACATACTGTACCTATCGTACACAAAAAGCTTTTAAAATGCAAAACCTCACGTGCAGTGGTATTCATCCCCCAAACAAAAGGTCAAGTACTATTAGTAAATAAGCCTAACTGAGAGAATCTACACAATCTTGTCACACCCTGCATACTGCAGGGGCAATGAGATGAAAACTGCAAACTCCAACTAATGCACAATGAAAAGCAAAAAAAATTGCAATCATTTTGAGCTAGTTAACAGTTGACTGACACAAATCATTCTATCCAACAAAACTAGAAAAACTTAATAGCACCATCTAATCAAATCCTTTTGAAACTAACAGCCTCATAAACTTCATAATCAAACAAAAACAACACTTATGCACCAGTCCATTCAACTTTCATCAAAACCAACATTAAAAGAGTACCTCCATAGCCTTGCTGCTGCTGCTCCCAAGGCCTAGTGGGAACAGGTCTTCCAAGCGAGTTTGAATTGGCAAGGGCAGTATTCCGATCAGCAGTTGTTACAATTTCACCGGGCTTCGCGGTCCCAGAGGCCTCCACAGTATCGCTAGTACTACCTGGGGACGCCGGTTTAAAAGGGCCTGGCCCGGATGCCGCTCCGGCTCGTTCCCATGGCTTCGCCGGAGGATTACTCCCACCTGCCACACCCAAACCCACAAAAAATCACCACCCAATAAATGAATTAAAAATCAAAATCGACAAAAACAAAACTTCACATGATAACCAAGATTATCAGCAAAACAAAGAACAATAAACCCTAATTCTGAAAAGCCCCCCGAAATTACCTGATGCAGCGGATGGGCTCGCCATAGATGAAAAATTTTCCCCAACCTCAGGAATGAGAGAGAAACAGAAGAAAGAGAGAAGGGGATAGGTATTGAAGGTTGAGAAAACCGATGGAAGGTTTCTGTCGGAATGCAATAATGATTCCTTCTTTATTTTTTTTTATATATCCTTTTTATTTTTTTGGCTATTTTCGTGGTTGTTTTGGTTAAGGGATAATTCCAGGAAGGTTTATGGTGTTTTCGAAGTTAATTACTTCTTTAGCCCTTTAGTGTACGTAGTCGGCTTTGGACGCGGTGGTGGTCTGGTCAAAGTCGTAAGTAGCGTGGGTAGTGCTCAAAGGTCAGCCATGTTTCGCTTTGAGAACGAATGAAAAAAAGACTAGGTGCTTCTTTGGACGTCAGCTTACATTTTATTTTCCGCTTAAAAGTGAAATGTATTTTAAGTTGAAAACTAAATGAGAAATGAAAATGTTGTTTGGATGTTGTTTTAGTTTGGACGGTGGTTTTGGGAAAAAAAAATTAATTTTAGTCACTGTAAAATTTTTTTTTTCAAAAATGATCACTAAACACTGTTGTTTAGTGATTATTTTTGAAAAAAAAAATTTACAGTAACTAAAATTGACATTTTTCGGTTGTTTAGTGATATTTTTCGTCACTGAACTATTGACACTTTTGGATTTAGTCGCTGAACTATTTTTAGTTTCATAAATGGTCACTATACTAACAAAAAGTGTTTCAAGTTGGATTTTAAAATGCAAATCAAAATGTTGTTTGGATGATGTTTTCTTTTTCATTGGTTTTTGTGTTTAAGAGGTAAAATGAGTGAAAATGAAAGTTAAGGCACTGTTCGATAATCACTTAATATAGTGACTTAATTTATTTAAGTACTTAATGAAATTAAGTGTGTTTGATAATCGCTACTAAAAATTTCTAATGAATTAAGTTCTGAACTAATTAAGTGCTTATTAATTAAGTGCGTTTGATAACTAAAATTTCACTATCTGAATTAATTAAGTACATCTAAATGGCCAGTTCAATTAAAAGCTAAAAAATAAGTGATAGACCTACCACTTATCACTTATCACGTAACACTTAATTTCTGTATTGATTGATTTTTTTTCCTTTTTCCACTCGTCTTTATTTCAATGCTTACTTTCACATTGTTTTAAAACTTTTATTTTCTTAAGATAAATTTATTAAGAGTGCTTAAATTTGAATTTATATTATGAGCATAAAAAATCTCAAACTTTCAAACTGAAATTAAACTAATTTTAACACATAAAATTTTCTAAATAACAAGATATATATATATATATATATGTATCTTGTTATTTTGCAAGTGTAATATCTACTTTCATTATATACACCAAAAATTTATTTTAAAATTATTATTTTATTATTTAGAACAAAATATTAATTATTTTTCTATTTAAAAGAAATTTGTTTTAATGATATTAAAAAATTAAATAACTTTCAGACCTGAGTATTCAGATTCAATCTTCAGACTTCAGACATCGAATTCAGATGTTAATGTAAATTCATGACTTCTGACTTCAGTGTTAAGTGTTCAGATTCAGATTTCAGTGATTATCAAACAAAACCAAGTGAACGTCCAAAGAAAGCCGGACTTTTTATAAAGAAAAGTGGATCAATCAATATCTATAGTACTTAATTAAAGCAGTAAACAAAAAGGACATGTGTCAGCACTACAATGAAAATTTTCCCGCCTAAAGCCATTTTCAGTACAAAATCATTTTTGACAAGTGTCACTCTAACTAATCAGAAAAAAAAGATAGAATAGATAAATACATAAATCCCTTAATTATAGCTACATAAAAATCTCTTAATTATAGGTATATACTAATCTTTTAAAAAAATAATATTTAATTAATAAAATCAAATGTAAGAAAATCCTCTTAAATCAAGTGAAACACAATAATGTCTTCCCAATTCCCAATTTCAAAGAATCTCTTCCACTCCGCTCCTCTCTCACACCCGGGCCTTTAAATCAATTACTTAAAATCTGACATCAATTATCAATCCATCTTTTTCTACAACAGAGAAAAAATAAGCTGTCATGAAAGAAATTTGATTTTTTAAGGATGGTTTTTTTTTATTCTTCTGTTGTAGATATTGGTTTATGATTTATGTAAACCCGAGGATAAGTTAACTGTTGAAAATTAAATGTTATAAATCTAGACATAGATTTATGTATAATAACTAATTTCTGTCCTTTCCATTGACTTTTTATTCTTTTATTTTTTTTAATTCTTTTAAGAATGATTCGTATTTTTTATTTAATCGATTTAAAAATACAAGCGGCACCCCGGGCATTCGCCCGTGGCAAGCATCTAGTATGCTATTAAAATAGTTGTCCAGTGCTGATGTGTCGCGTTCTCATGTAACGTTTTCCCGCCCAGCAAAAACGACGTCGTTTTGGCAGAAAAAAAAAATAAAACACCACATTTGTGTTAAAAACTCCCAGTTAAACACACTAAATTGTTTCCTTTACAAAATGAAATTATATTGCATAAGTAATTAAGACAATCAATGCACAAGATAAACACAATGAATCCATCTCCTGAAAATTTGGAAACAATAGTTCACATATAATTAATTCAATATATGTGTACAAAATAACATCATTAAATCATATCTCAATCAATCATGATGAATCTAAAGCCCAAAAGAACATTGGGTTAATCTTGAAAAAACTAATAAATTTTTAATATTAGATTTATATAATTATTAAAATAACACAAAATTATTTATTTCCTGTGCAAGGCACGGAATTTCACCTAGCATGTATGAAGTTTAAAGTTATTTTTGGACTAATGTAAGAAAATCTATTGTTATCATTGTCAAGTGATCATCTTGATCACTTTATTATCGAAAGAAATCTATTTTATTTAATTTTTTCTGCATATAATACATGTTAATGTCAATAACAATAATTAATTCGTTCATTAAGTAACAAGACCAATAAAAATCATCCATAAAAGAGTAAAATTACATCACCGCAACTCTACAAAATCTTATACTCCCTCTGGTCTTTAATATAAGGTATTTTGATTTGTCCTAAGTTTAACCTAGTACGTGTTTTTAATTGATGAAAAAACCTTAAAAATGTTTCATGACAATCAAGAGAATACAAGGAACATGAAAATATATTTTTAAGGTTTTTTCGTCAATTAAAAATATGTACTAGGTGAAAAAAATGTGTACCATTTTAAGCTTAAGTTGTATATAGGTTTTTGCCTGTTATCGGAAAAAAACTGCCGGCACGATATCAAGATTTATGACCAGTGGCGGAATCAGCTTCTAATATTTGGGGGGCTCGATGTCTATTGGTGTTTTTTTAGAACATTTCATGTTGAAAATTATATCGATAAATTTGTTGAGATAAATTTTATACCATCTCTTATGTTCCATTTCACATTAATGGGTGTAAAATTTAAATTTTAAGTAAAGAAAAACTTAAGACTCATTTGAAATGTGTATAATTCCCATCGTTGTATATATTTTTAACTGAATTCCCATCGTTTTAAATGTAGATAATACTTGATTGTTGGGATGATATCATATCTTTGGATAATTAAGAGGCAAAAATTAAAACGGAATGGCAAGAGAAACAATCTTAACTTATATGGGTCTTTAAAAAAATTAATTAAAATAAAGGTGGACCAAATTAATTTTTTTAAAATTTGTGTGGACAAAACTATATCCTACGGATTTTCAAAATCCAAATCTTTATTAAAATTAACCTTCGAATTTCGAAAATCCGAATCCTCATATAATATTAAAATAATAAGTATTTTTATTTTATTTTGTGAAAATACAGTAAAAAAAAAAGAGGTTAGAATATGAATAGTAGACTTCGGATTTCACAAATACGAATTCTATAAATTAAAATAATTAAAATAGAAAATTGTGGCGCTAATTTTTTGAATCGGAGAATCGGATTTTTGATTTATTAATATTATAATTAAATATTATCATTGATTCAGTATAATTCATATGTATTAGTGTCATGTACTATTTGTACGTACTAGTATTATGTAGTACATTAATATTACTACTCATTATACATTATTGATACTATTGTTATTTATTACGGTTAAATCTGTTAGTCATTATATATTATCGTTAATTCAGTATAATTCATTTATACTAGTGTTAGGTACTATTTGTACGTACTAGTATTATTTTATGTCGTACATTAATATTAATACCAATTATATATTACTAGTACTAATTTTACTTATTAATGTTAAATCTATTAATTATTAGATATTATCATTAATTCAGTATAATTCATCTATATTGGTGTTATTACGATTATTTGTTATTGTTAAATCTGTTAGTTATTAAATATTGTCATTAATTCAGTGTAATCTAACTGTACAACTGTTATGTATCTTTTAAAACCAAAATCCGAGTGCAACATATACTCGGGTTTAGGTTCGGATTTCTAGAATCCGAGTTTAGGGTTTAAGGTCGGATTTTTGAAATCCAAAGTTAGTTAAAATTTGAATTTTTAATATCCGATTTGGTTAAAAAAAAGTTAGATTTTAGGCTTTAGGGTTTAGTTCAATGTGCCTTGTGTGGTATAGGCGCTACCTGGGTAAACGTATATGTAAGTGGTAGAAATCCGAGCGTAAGTGAAACAGAAACAGAGGGACTCGGATTACTGAAATCCGAATGTATTCAATTTGTAAAGAACACGGATTTGCGAAATTCGATTGTGGAAAGCATGTGGCACTACTTATTTATTACGGAAACAGGGAAGGTTCGGATTTCGGAAATCCGATTCGTGTCCAAAAAATTATCAACACTTGTACAAAAAAATTTTTTTCCAGAAATTAATATTTTAATTATAAATTCGGATTTCAGAAATCCGAATTCTGATTAATTATGTCAGATTAAAAATTTACTTAGTTTTAGTTTTAATTAAAATGAATTCGGATTTTTAAAATCCATTCTCTAATGAATTCGGATTACCAAAATCCGAATTTACCCCAGATT